AACACCTATACATATACATAACCGTGTGCATAGACATGGGCATATATCTACATGTACGATGGATAAATGTATGCAGATGTGAACAAACATATAGTTAAGTACAGATACACAGACGTGTAACTATATATACACATACATATACACATATACACGCACATATGATATATATATAGAATCATGCACGTCCATATGTACACGCAACTGTCCACATATGTATAATAAATATATGTGTAAATATATGTTTGTATAAATGTATCGATATACGTGTACACATGCATATATTTATACATACACGTGCGTGTTCGCATACATCTGCATAAACAAATACAAATGCATATACACTGTCGCAGATATATATATATATATATACATACTCTCTCTCTCTCATCAAATATGCGCTCGCACATACATACACATATGAATGTGATATAAACATATATATGTACAAACATATACAAACCCCAAATACTTACGGACATGCCCACAAACATGTACATATACATATACATCTGCATAGACATAGAGACATACATAGACATGTACATGTACATGTGCATGTATATATACAAATGCATATACGCAAACATACAGGTATAAACATACATACACCATGTCATCTACATATACATATGTACATGTGCATACTCTATACATATACATGCATCGAAGACCGTCGAAGACCAGCAAAACCCCTGGCCCCGAAAGGCCCGCAAAACGCGCCGTAGCTGCCTTGACGGTGCCCGGCGGCGGCGCCTTCGGCGCCGGCTTCCGCGTCGGCGGCTTCCGCGGGGGGGCGACGGGCGGCTTGGGCTGGGCCCTGCCCCCGCGCGCCTGCGGCGCCGCGAGAGGGGAAGGAGGGAGGGGAAGGAGGGAGGAGGGAGGAGGGAGGAGGGAGGAGGGAGGAGGGAGGAGGGAGGAGGAGAAGGGAGGAGGAGGAGGAGGAGGAGAAGGATGAGGAGGGGGAGGCTTCGCTCAGACGGACTCTCGAGCCACGAGGTGGCAGGTGCCAGGAGGAGGAAGATGAGGAGGGCGAGGGCCCTTTGTGGGAACCCTGTCCCCCGCACTCGCCCCTGGCGCCGCGCCCCTGCCGCGCGGCGGCCCCCAGCCTCAGCGCGCCGCCGCGCCATCAGCCGCGGGCGGCGTGCGCTTCACCCGGAAAGCCCTTCATCCACGAGAGCGTGAACAACAGCATGTGGATTTTCATCAACGTGCGTGAGATCAATCGCGTCTACAACCCTTTCTACCGGGGGGGCGACCTACAGGGTGTCCATCATCAAGGCTACGAGACTTACACACCTGCATGGAGGCATACCGGCCACAATGCCGAGACCGAATGCGACCTGGACGACACGGGCACGAACAGATGCAGCATGCAGAAGGGCGGGATGCCTCGTCCGACGTGGGACACGATCACACCTCAACGACATCATGGTCATCGCTACGACCGCCCTGAAAAGGGCGCAGTAATCCTGCGACGAGCTGAATATAAAACAGCCTCACGACAGGTACGACGCCAAGTGCGACAGCTCGGGCGACTACGGCACCGAGTGCGACACGAAGCACGAGAAGTACCACGAGTACGACACCAAGTGCGCCACCGAGGTCGTCGGCAAGTACGGCAGCAATAGCTGCGGCATGAACGCGTCCGCAGCCGCTTTCAAGCCAGGCCAGATCACGATCGACCTGGCCGCGGAGCCCTTGCCGTACATGACCCAGGCGTGCCTCGGCGAGCAGGTCCCCCCAGGCGATAAAGGACAGTGCTGGGGCGACCTGGTGCTTCCTCTCTCGGTGGACAGGCCCAGCGTGGACCACGACGGCCGCTTGAGCAGCCACGGCTGCCTCCAGAGCAGGCACGTCCACCAGGACTGCGATAGCCACCAGCACCGCAACCAGAACGACCGCCAGGACTACGACTCCGTGGAACTACGCCGCCGGCGACCGCTGGCGCGAGTCCAAGGAGGCCGAGGAGGCCAGGATGGCAGAGGAGGCCAGGAAGGACGAGGAGGTCAGGAGCGGTCAGGAGGCCAGCAAGGTCGCCCTGGTCAGGAGAACTGCTGAGGCCAGGAAAGCAGAGGAGGGCAAGAAGGCTGAGGGGGCCATCAGGACACAAGTGGCGAATCGGGCTGTGGAGGCCAGGAAGGCCAAGGAGGTCCAGAAGGCTCAGGGGGGGCCAGGAAGGCCGCCGAGCCCAAGAAAGCTGAGGGGGCCAGGAAGGCAGAGGAGGTCCACCGGGAGGCCAGAGAGCCAGAGGAGGCCAGTAAGACAGAGGAGGCCATGAAGACCGAGGAGGCAAAGAAGACCAAAGGGCCAAGAAGGCACAGGAGGCCTCGAAGGCAGAGGAAGCACAGAGGGCCGAAGAGGTCAGGAAGGCCCAGGAGAAGCCTCCCGAGGCAGAGAGAGAGCAGGTGGTGGTGGCACTGGACCTGAAAGCAGAGGGGACCTAAGGCCAGGAAGGCAGAGGAGGCCCGAAAGGCTGAGGTCGGCAAGGCTGCGGAGGCCGAGAAAGCAGACGAGGCCGCTCAGGCAGAGACTGCGCATGTGGCCAAGACGGCAGAGGAGTCCACACAGGCAGGGGAGGCCGAGAGCGTGAGGTCAAAGAAGACCGAGGAGGCCAATGAGGCAGAGATGCCCAGAAAAGCAGAGGAGGCCTGGAGGACCGTCGAGGCCTGAAAGGAAGGGACTCCCTCGGCAGCTGGGACGCACGGCTTCTCGGCGCAAGCTGAGCGGCCGCGGGCAGGCACGCCAGTGCCACACACCCCTACGCCTCTCTGGAGGGCTGAGGACGTGCGCAGCGCGGCGTCTACAGAGCCGCTCAGCGGCAGCCGGAGACGGCCGTTGCCTCCACTGCGTGGCAGGGGCGTGAACGGAAGGGGGCTTTGCCCTGTCGCCGGCGGCCAGAGGGCCTGCCGTAGAGACCCTGGGTTTGGGGTCCCAGGCCACTGGGGGAGGGGCCGTGCGGCGCGCCAGACTCCTCTGCGCACGGGTACCTTGGCGCTTCTTGTCCTCCCTGCGCCCCGCTTCGGCTCATGGCATTAGTGTGCGAGTTCTGCCAACACCTGATTGCCAGCTCCCTTCCAGGGGTGGGAGCCTTAGCAGAAGACGAGGCGCTCGCGTAGGGCTGCAGCTGGGAAGGGGGGTGCCCAGTGTTGCGGGGGTCCTGCTTGTCGTCGTCCTCTTCTCCGGGGGCTCGCCCAAATCCGACTTTATAGCTTCATTCCCGCTGGCACCGAAGCGTCTCATTTTTGTCATGTCTTATCAGCGCGACGCTGATATCCCTGGCTTGTGGGGGTATCCCCCCCTGCGCACTGACAGGGGCCCGAAAGGCGGTGGCCGCAGTCTCCTCCTCGGCTGCGAGCTGCCCTGCTGGGGCTTTCCACAGTTGATTCCGCCCCGGGGTGGCCACGAGGCTGCTCTAGGGCTGCTTCTTGTTCTGAACCTCATACTACTTTTCTCGGCCTTCGGCCGAAGTCGTCTAGGCCGTTTGGCAGCCTGTCGCCATGAACTACAAAATGCAGACGACGGGGGCGCCGACCCCGACAACCGCTTCCCCCCCGGTTGGTGGTGTGGTGTGGTGTGGTGTGGTGTGGTGTGGTGTGGTGTGGTGTGGTGTGGTGTGGTGTGGTGTGGTGTGGTGTGGTGTGGTGTGGTGTGGTGTGGTGTGGGGTGGGGTGGGGTGGGGTGGGGTGGGGTGGGGTGGGGCGGGGCGGGGTGGGGTGGGGTGGGGTGGGGTGGGGTGGGCAATGGTGTGGTGTGGTTGCACGCCCAGGAGCCGAACACGGGAACTTTCTCCCGCAACCCCGGCGCCCGGCCGCCGCTCCCGGCGGAGGGTGGAGTCCCTACCGAAGAGGCCCTGGCGGCCTCGTCCTAGTCCTCCCCTCCCTCTCGTCGCTGGACTCGGAACCGAATTGGTCAGGTTGAGTTGTTGGGCGTCGTCCCATTGTTGTCGACTCAGGCCGGGAGTGAACTTAAGCGACTCTTGGCCCATTTCTTCCCCATCTTCCACTACTTTTCTCGGCCTCCGGCCGAGGGTGTCCAGGCCTGTGGCAGCCTGTCCCCTACATCTACAATAAAGGCAAGAAAGGCAGAGATCAATGAAGCAAACGAGATCCGAAAGGCACAAGTGGCCAAAAAGGCCGTGGAAGACACCCGCGACATGTGCGTCCACCTCCTCGAGCAGATCGACGCAGAGACGAACGACATCATCGACCAGTTGGAGCACTATGGGAACACGGAGGCTCGCGGGGATTAGGCCCGGTACCGAGGCAAGAGTTACGACGAGGAGGACGACGGCGAAGACGACGCGCTCAGGCACTGGGTCAGGAAACCCCGCGGGAGGCGCGGAACGCCGTGCGCTAGCAGGGCACCTTCTCAGGATGCCCACGAGGAGGTAGAGGAGAAGTACGTGGAGGAGGAGATAGAGGCAGAGGAGGTGGAGGATGAGGAGGCGAAGACGGTACAGGAGCTCGAGGACGAGGACCATGAGCTGTACCTCTTGCATCGTCAGGACGCAACAATAAGGTGCATACGTGGAGTTGAAGTCGCGAGAATTCTATTTTGGACCGCGTGAGGATCTTCTCAGGGTTGTCTCCCAGCAGGGTACTTATTTCAGTGGAAATGAACCCTTGTAGGGGCCTCTGAAAATTGAGCTTGGGGAAAGGGCATATTCCAACATCGCCGATGAGTCTTGGGTTTACACTGGTCCTCCTCCTCCTCCTCCTCCTCCTCCTCCTCCTCCTCCTCCTCCTCCTCCTCCTCCTCCTCCTCCTCCGTATCCTCCGTATCCTCCGTATCCTCCGCCTCCTCCTTCATTCCTTTCCCTTACAAATGACTCCTCCCTGTCACACCCCGAGGCCGGTCGAAAGGGCGGGCCCAGGCGTTTCGCCTGAGATGTCCCCACCACTTGTGATCCTGACAGCTTCACGGATGGAGGGCGGGACATTTCCAAAATGCGGCTCTCGCCTTGGCGCCGCGCACATTTGCTTCAACAAATTGCAAGAGTTGCACGGATTGAGGGCGGGCCGTTTTCAAAGTGTGGCTATCGCCTTCGCGCCGCGCACATTCCATTAAAACATGCAAGAGTTGCACGGATAGGGGGTGGTGCTTTTCCGAGTGTGGCTCTCACCTGAGCGCCGCGCACACTCGTTTGCAAAATTCGCAAGCGCTTCAAGGATTGAGGATAAGTCGTTCTCAAAATGTGGTTCTCGACTTAGCGCCCCGCACGGTCGTTTAAACATTTGCTGCAAATTTCACGGGTACAGGTCGGGTGGTTTTCAAAATGCGGCTCTCGCCTAAGCGCCGCGCACATTGGTCCTACAAAAATTGCACGAGCTTCACGGATTGAGGGCGGCTCCTTTTCAACATGCGGCTCTCGCCCTAGCGCCGCGTACAGTCGTCCTAGAAAACTGGAAGAGCCTCACAGATTGAGGTCGGTTCCCTTTTGAAATGTGGCTCTCACCTGAGCTCCGCGCATATTCGTCCTTCAAATTTGCAAGCGTTCCATTGACTCTCATGGCCAACGTACCAGAAAAGCTTCTGGAACGGTTCAGGACTGTCAGGACGCAGCAGTTACGTTAGTTAGCGGTGTTACAGTCCCAGAAATGGTGTTCTGGCAAGATCCAGGATCGCCAAGACGTAACAATCAGGTCAACTCGGGGCGTCGAAGTCCTGAGAACGATGTTTTGGGACACTTCCGGATTTTCGCACGGTTGTCCCCCAACGGGGCAATTCCTTCAGTGGATATGAACCCTTGTAGGGGCCTACGAAGAGGGTGCTAGACGGGAAGGTGTATTCCAACATAGTTGATAAATCTTGGGTTTACTCTGGTCCTCCTC